CTCTTTTCTTGGTCAACAGACACCATCCATGCTAGGGATAAGGGATCTTGAATTGACTCTGCCAATCCTCCTAATTGGGTACTCCATCAAGACTATACTGGGGGATTAAGGTTGTGGCTCAGTGGCAGAGTGCTTGCCTAGCACATGTGAGGCACTAGGTTCGATCCTTAGCATCACATAATAAATGCATTCTGTCCATCTACAACTACAAAAATAAAAATAAAAGACTATACTAGATTTGAATCTGTTTTCTCATCACAGTGCACATAGCAAATACTCAAATATTTGTGAATAAATGATGCAACAACACATAATAGACTTAGATATAACAAAGTTATGTTCAAGAATAATTTTCCATCATAATTGTGTTATGGACATTTTAAGTAGTACTGTTTTATTTATCTGGTAAAGATTTTAAATGGGACAATGAATATCCAAGGGGAAAAGGGGACTTGGGAAGCTCTCAGCAAGGGAGATGATCATTCTTAAAACATGCCTTATCACTTCCAGATTTATTTGTCCCAATTTACCAACAAACGTAGAAACGTTTACATACTATGGTTGTTTAACCTTGCTGTTAAGCGACACTGCTTTGTGTGACTAATAAAATTTTCATACTAGCTCAATATTAATGGTGGCTCATTGCCAAATAAATCAAGTTTCTTGGTTGCAAACAACAGAACCAGATTGGTTATTTTAGAAAGAAAAGGAATCAATTGGGTTATTTGCACATCAAAAGGCTGATAAACTAGGCTGAGGCAGGAGTCCAGTAAAGGAAAGTGAACCCATTCATTGCCTTGCCTAGCAAAATCTGCTTATTAAGGCTGCCACTGCCACCCTTGTTCAGTCACTATCATACCACCAGAGATTATATAAGACGACCTGTGACAGGTTCTGCAACTTTGTCTCAGCCTCTCAAGATTCAAAATCCTGATTGTAAGCATCATACTGACCATTTGAGATTTTGATCCCATTGTGGATGCAGAGGCAGTTGACTCCTTGGGGTACTGACTGTTCTCTTCGCTGCTTGGCATAAAGCAAAATAGGAAGGGTATTTTGCTATTATGTCAAAAGAAACCAAATATCCTTCATGCAATCTGTTGAAAGTAAATAGTTCTGTCTCTTAAAACCCAATTAGACTTCCTTGGTTTTCCTGCCCCTATGTATCCTATTTAGCACTGCTACTCTACCCATGGAATCCTTGATGTAGAAGTTCCATGCTTGACAATTCTCAATGAAGTGAACTGGGCAGACCTACTGATGCCGGGATAATTAATTTTTAAAATATAGTTCTACCTTAGTTACACCTTTAGGAAAATTCAATCTATTTTAGACATAATTCAGGACATATCTTTAGGTTAAAAATATACTTTTTTATTTTTTTTTAGTTATTGGACATAGTATCTTTTTCATTTTTATGTAGTGCCGAGGATAGAAGCCAGTGCTTCTTCACATGTTCAAGGCAAGCGCTCTGTCACTGAGCCACACAATCCAGTTTTTTTTAAATTGGTTAAAATACTGTTAATTAAAAAAAAGTATAAAGATTCCCATTGTTACATTATTCCTCTTCTGCACCCATCACTCACTTTTCTTCCAACACTGTTTGCTGTGGCCAGACGCACTGCTCCATCAAATCACTCCATCAAATCACTTAATCAGATCAGATTATCTGTTGCTATTCTGACCATTTAAGAAAGTCTTAGCTCTAAGTCATTTAAAATTATTCAAATTACAAAATTAAGGAAATAGTCGACAAATGCTCTTATATCAAGCACCATTATAAAATCTTTATATGTATATTTTAATCCTTAAAATCATATTGCCATTTCACATATGGAGAAACTGAAACCAAAAATATTCAGATATTTATCAATGTAGGATGCTTGAATTAAACCGCAAAATACAAGACTTGCTGGCAATAAATAAAATATCTTTATTATGATTTTAGTAGTTAAAATTTGCTCGTTTCCTAGATAAAGTAGTCTGTAACAGGATAAAAAAATTACAAAAAAGGCAAGCTCTTTCTTAATGATTCATTTGAATTAGCTATAAAATGAAAATACCTGCTAATTATTTAATACCGTCTAAAATAACACAAAATATATTCAATATGTAATACAAACCTCAATAATCCAATTTTCCTAATAAGCAATATTTACAAACTCTGAACTAAGAGAAAAAGATTTAGTTAGACAAAGAAATAAGAGAATAGTGGCTTTAAATAATTTTATCCTAGGTAATCTATGCTTTGGAGTAGAAAATACTCATTTAATACAATATTAATTATATTAAAATTACACTTAGTTGGTGTGAAGTGAGCCCAACCTAAATTCCTGTGTGCCTGGAAAATACAACTTTTAAAAAGCCATTATCAAGAATTGGTAATAGTTTAATAATTCTGACTGACATCTAAACCAACTTATCTTAAAGGTGCAGAATTTAATGACACCCTTATTTTTATTAAACTTATCTTCATTAACAAGGTAAAGCACTTTCCTTTCTAAATTGTATTAATCTTATTCAATAATCTATGTAATAATGTCATAGGCTAGTAAGCAAAGCAAGCAACATTACTTTTTTAAATAACATCTTTAATTAAAGTTTTGCAAAGGTAAAATATTAAACTTAAAATAGGTCTTAGTACATGAAAATACTAAGTTCTCTAATTGTATTCCAAGATGGGTCTTTAAAACATAATATCCCATTTATCACAGAAGAGCAACCTTGATCTGCAATTGTACAGAATGAATTTTACAAACATAATAAATATATTTACGCCCTTACACATAACAGTATGTACAACAGCAGTTGACAATAGTAGCTCAGAACAGCAAAAAGATTAGTTCCTCCCCCCCAAGTTGTAGCCCTGTGTATACTGGACTGATTTAAGGAAATCTGACTTAAGGAGAGAGTAGTTAGTAACACAATATAATTCTCTAAAAGAGAAGGAAAAAAGTTTGTTCCTCAAAATAAACAAAAATAGTTTGATCTGTTCTTCTTAAATCACAGAAAAATAATGATAGACTAAGGCAGGATTCAAAAGGGAAGTGTATAAACCTCAAGAGTAATTTAGCATAATAGATGATTAAAATGCAAAACTAACAAACCCATGAGGAAACATATAAAACAACTACTTTTTAACCAGAAATTCAAAATTTGCTATAGCTGATTCAGACAGGTAGGTGGGAGACAGACATTATGAAATGAAAATATACAAAGACATATCAATAAAATATTACATTGCACAAAAGCTCAAAAAAGCTCAAAATGAAATAATCTGAAAATATAGGAATTTTCTCAAGTGAAAGAAAATACTAAAGTTATAAAGGGAACTCCCAAGAAGGAATTATGTCTGTTTTCCTATACAAGGAATATTTTCCCTCTAATAATAGTGAATTATTGCTATGATAATAAAAAATTACTTTTAGAGGGAGACCATTCTTTTTAATCCCTTCATAAGAGCCAGGAAAAAAAAATCCTTGACTTTCACTATAGCAAAAGACAAACTTTATAAAAAAGCTATTATATTTTTATGATATTTTCTAAAATCAGAATCTATTTTGCTGGTCAAGAACATATTTTAATCACTAGACACAATGCTCAAATCTTGTTGTAATTATACAACATCAGTGGCTTTGATTTTTAAAAAGCCAACAGTGCAAATTATGATGACATTTAATTAACATAAATGTGAACATCTCAAAAAATATAAAAGCTTAATATAAAGATCCCCTCATATAACAGACATTTTAATCTAGAATCGAATTGCACATTGAAGAGTTGTTTTAGCCACATGCAGCGCTCTACAGAAATTAAATGTGCTATCAGGCATTCAAGTGACCAGATCATACAAATGACCATCCAAAAGACTTATATGCCAAAAGGATATACTTCCACACTTCAGTAATTTTCTGTAAATTTTCCAGAGCACTTTTGTTTTTTGAGTAAAAGGTGCCATCATCACCATCTGTGCAAATCTAAACAAATTCTCTTCTGAATAAGCAATGGTTATTACGAAGTCTGAATGATTTTTCCCCTTTGGATAAAGATGCTTTCATTTAAAAACTCTGAAAGTGGGAATCCCTTGCCTTTTCAAAGGAATGACATTTTAACGGAACCTAATGAAATGATTTGTTCAATATGTTAAAAGCATGATTAAAAATTCAAAGCAAGTGACATTCATATAGCAAAAGCCACTATAATAAAAAATAAAGCAAGCTATTTGATTAAAAAGAAACACGATGCAATAATACATAAGAGCACAATTTGGTATGCAGTGTTGTTTGGACCAGCTTTCAGAATTTTCACAGGTAGAAGAAAAGCATTTGCCAAGTATATCATAATTCATATGCAATATACAGGTGCAAATACAACTGGTTATTTCCTGCTTCAAAATAACTCCAGTGAGTCATTCTGAAAGCAGTGGTTGTTCATGTTTGCAAATATAATTATAAAAATAGGCCAGTATACAATGCTACTATGAATATTTGTCTACAAAGAGGGCCCAAGACATGAGTTGAACATCATACAGTAATCAAAGTTTCAGTAGTATAAGAACTACTAGATACGTCAAAGAGTTTTACTTAAGCAACACTGCAGCACTGCTAAACTTTTATAGGTAGTTCAGGTCATTGACTTCTTCATTGAGTAAACATAAGCCTCCTAATAACTATACTGAAAAGGACACTGAACAGGACTTCTGTGATTTTACTCCCTCCATTCTAGTCTTACTTATAATTAAAAATAAAATAAAAAACCTGTGTGTGCTTTGAGAGTAGTGGGGTAAACAAATTTCCCCTCAAAAAAAGCTAAATTAATAGTCAAAATAAAAACTCTATTACCAGTTATGGCATCTAAATAAAACCTAACTACTAGAATGCCAGACATCACCATTTATACCAAAATTCAGAACAAAAGTTAAAAGAGACCAAGTTGGAAGTGGGGTGAGAAGTAGGCAAAAAAAAAAAAAAAAAAGTTGATTAACCTTTTGAGAAATGTAAAGATATATTTTTTTTTTTTTAAAAAATAAACACTATAATAGCTCACAGTTTTCTCCTTTGTAAAGTACTTTAAAGTGTTTATCTGTTAGTTCTGGAAACACATAAAGGCAAACGAAGGAAAGACAACAATGGAAGACAAAAAAAATCAACATACCAGTAACTTATTAAACGTGAATTTTGTTAAGAAAAACCATGAAAAGTTGAATTAATTATTAGAACACAAAAGTGAAGGTGAATGTTCCTACAGGTCTCCCAGGCAGCTGATTCACACAGATGGCAGTGCCATATTGTTCTTTAGAGCCCCTTAGAGAAATACAGAGCTATGCATTCTTAAATACATATTAAAGTTCTATTATTTTTAATATACAAGTCAAATTTCTATGTTTCTTTCCAATGTGCAAACTGGAGCCCAAGTCTATATTATCAATGGCCCTTCTAGGCCACCCAATGCAAGAGAGGTAAATATGTACTTATTAGTTGCCCACCTCCCTCAACCCCCCAAAACTTCCCCTCAAATTACAAAGTTACTTTTAAAAAATTTGTCCAAATAAAATAATAGGTTTTTAAATTCTTTACTAGTAAACACAAGAAACTTTTATAATTACTAAAATGTTTAATAAAAATCCAGGTCCTCACCACCTGCCCTTTATGCTTCAATCAATATACAGAATGTTATCTGAATGTTTACCTTAAAGACTAAATGCATATATAAGCACATACTTCAGCCAAACAAGAAAAATCTTCATATATCCATGTATATACAATTTTAGCTAGATGGTACCTTTGTAAAATAAAAATGTGTTCCTGAGGAGCCAATTTGGAATTTCTTTTTAAAGGGTTACAGTTTTTCTGTAAGGAAATTGAAGTTGTCATTTTAATTCCACACAATTCAGATAAGACCCAAGTCTTTAAATTACATTTAATAAGTATGAAAACCTAATTAAAATAAATATCCATTCCTGGGTCAATTTTGTCTCCAAACTGTGATTACTGATTACTTCCTTATATCTTAGATGTTTCATAAAGCAGGGAAGGAAGAGTTATATATTACCAAGGGAAAATAACAAGTAAAAATATTTAAGACCTATTATGAGAATTTTAAATTGTTTTCTTATACAAGTGAATTAAAATTCAACACCATAATTCTTACCCTTTTGTAAAAAGCTCACACGAAATTTTTACCAAATATAACCACATACAATAAGCAGTTTCAGTTCAATCTATCAAAAGGGCAGTTTCTTCAGTTCATTCCAACAAGAATCTTCTGATTGAGCCCAAGTTGGAGGAAGGAATAGAGACAAAGCTTTACATGCTAATTACCGGTGGCAAGTTCCTGTATTTAAAATTGACAATTATGGTTTTCCTACACAAAACCCCAACCCCCCCACCCCAACAACCCCAGGTGCTACAGTTCCATGGCTTGCCAGTTAGAAGTAGTGTCTATGTTGTCAAGGTCTATCTTTGTTCCAGTAGCTTTGCTTCTACTGCACTTTTCTGACATGCAGAAATGAAGTTTTGGTTGGTGTTTGTCCCAAGTTTCAAACTGTTCACTTTAAATTTTTTTTAAAGTTTCTTTTATTTATAAAAGAAAGAAGCAACTCTTCACCATTCAGCATCTCCAATGGCTTTGGAAAATATATAATCTCTTCCATTAAGATTCATAATACCATCCTTGAGATGAAATTTCCATTTGTTTTTACTTCTGTGTATCTAAACAAAAACAAAATTAAATGAATGTAAGAGATACAATCAGAAAATAGAAAAATAAAGAAAAGGCCTATTCACAAAAAAAAAAACAACAAAAAAACCCCCCAAATGTTCTATTGTAATTTGGTTTCTTGTTTAACTTCACCCCTCCCCGCAAAAAACACAACCCACAAAACAGTAGGTGATTTTAGAAATACTAATTTATCTGTAATATATCATAGTTCATACTACTGTGTTCACTAGTTAATAATTATTTTTAAACATACAATTATAGTTTCAATTTCTTTTATAAAAACGAAACTTCTCAGTAAACTTCTTAGTGTTCTTAAGACCTAATATGGAATATAATAATGCAGAAGTGCTTACCAGGGACAGATATTTTCTGAGATCCCAAGCCTAAACCTCATGGTGCAAATACTCTCTATGGCATATTCTTGGGAAATGGTTATTCAGTGTCTGCTTGTATGTGATCAGAAGTAGGGAGCAAATATTTCCAAATTAAATCACTATTTTCTGGGACAGATCTCTCCAAGGGCTTTTGTATTTTATCCCTTACTGAAATTAGCTTCCTAGTTTTGCTTTTTGAGACTTAAAAAACAAACAAGCTTTTATAGGATTGAAAATCACTCATGCTCCTCCTCTAGAATCACCTCTTCTTACTAAAACAGCACAACAGATGGGCACAGTGGCACACTCCTATAATCCCAGCAACATGGGAAGCTGAGGCCAAATGATTCCAAGTTTGGGCCAGCCTTAGCAAATTAGTAAGACACTGTCTTCATATAAAAAATAAAAAGGTCTGGAGATATAGTTCAATAGTAAAGCACCCCTGGGTTCAATTCCCAGTACAAAAACAAAACAACACAATAAAGTTAAAAGAGCAAACAGATCAGAGACTCTTGCATTAAATGGTTGCTTATAGCTCTAATCTAAACAATATAAACATTAAATCTAACATATTATAGAAGATGACCTGAATGTCTGATAGACATGAGATTTAACATATCCAAAGCTGAACTCTCTTTCTCATATTCTAAACCTGCTCTACATGCAGCTGAGTTGATGGCATTATCATCCTTTTTTTCCAGTTACTCATCAATTTGAGTCACTTTATTCTAGGAAATCCTGTTGAATTTTCAAATCATCATTCAAGATCCACTAATCCCCACCAACTTTAATACTACCAGCATAGTCTCAGTCACCATTATCTTTTACTTGGATTATTATAGTATCTCCCTAAATAGTCTCCTTATTTAACCCTTCCTTCCTCCCTATACTCTATCCTCAAAAAGAAGGCAAAGTAATTCTTTTAAAATTAAATCAGATTATACCCTTTGAAACCTTCTAATATCTTCTCCGTATACTTAGAATAAGAGCCTATAACCCATACAATCTGTCTTCCCTATTTTTATGGCTTCCCCACCTGAGTCTCACCACACTGGCATGCCCCTGCTGCTCCTGACACTCAAGTAGGCTCTGCCACCAACAATGACAGGGTAACTCCCTTCAATTCTTTTACTCAAATGTCATCTTCTCCAAGGGTCTACTTACTATAAGTACTGTATTTAAAACTGAAACTTGTCCCCCCCCATCCCTTCTCTGCATTTTTCTGTAGCAAATATCAGCTTCTAATGCGCTACATTAATTTATTTATTATGTTTTAGCATCTGTCTACCTCTACTATAGCAAGTTTCCCAATGACAAAGAATTTTTGTTCACTAGTGTATCTCAAGCTCCTAGGAATAGTACCCTATGATACCATACCATATGCACTCAATAAGAATTTATTGAATGAAAAGACCTGTCTACCCCTCCAATTCTCTATAAGTACATTAATTATCTGTAAAATGGGTTTACAAATTTATTTCCAGCATGAACTGAGAGATTGCAACCTAAGAGATTATATACAAGTGGTGAAAAGCCAGAAAATAAAAATTTCACAGATCAAGGACACACAGCATTTTGCTGAATAGCAACTTGTAAAACAATAATGTAGAAAAGTTTCATAGGTCAAATAGTAGTCCATACACTCAGAACTGAAGTCATATTAGTTAATAAATGGTAAATATTTTTTTGAACAAAAGTACAAAGTTTAAAAAGCAATTCATTTATTGGTCTTAGTCCTTCATAAAGGAATATCCTAAATGCCAAGAGAAAAGTCACTTAAATTTCCTAAAGTAAAGGTAAAATAAAGTAAAATTATGTATAAGCAAGACTGAAGCCTCTAACCTGTGGCATTTTCACCAAATGCTAAAACAGTCCTATCTAGTCACACTTGAGAACTCTGTCACATTATTAGCATTTTACTAACATTCCAATTTGACTGGCAATATAAACCTTATTCCTTCTATGATATCTTGCACAAGTAACTCATTGTTGAAATTTTAAAATTTAGGCATCCAAACTAAAACTCCTAATATTCAAGTAGGCTCAAATCAAATTCAATGTCATTTTAACCAATCACAAAATACACCTACCATTTAGTATTGGTTAAAACATCAAATCCCCACTCCTTCAATACAATTCTTAAAATCAGACCTCTGAAAATGTTAACTGTTAATCATTTGCCACATTATTTAAAGCCATTTTCAATTTCTTAGTTTAAAACATTAATGTATCTGGAAGCAAAACAAACCAATTTTAACATTTAAAATATGTGTACTGATCATCAAAGAACACAACCATTCTCTTATAATTGAAAAATAGTTTGCAGTATATTCTTCTGAAAGCAGGCTAAGGTAAAGGTTCTCTCTCTTTTGCCTAATAAATATTACATCTTATTATCATGAAATTATTTTGGGTAATTTGGTTGCAAGCAGTTCCCTTGAGACTTCCTGACAATAAAGCTTATTGGTGTGCTATTTAATCTTATATTGCTTACATGTGTTTAAGTGGAAAATTAAATGTTATTGTATTCATGGTATAGGATATTAAGAACACTCACCTAGAAAACATAATGTACAAAAGCATATGCTATGAAACTCTCAATAACCTCAGTGACTTTATTTTATAAACATCACTGGACTATCTTTTTATTAGGAAAAAAGATCTAATATCTTGGCATTCTTCCTATAGAGCTGTTGGCAATAAGCATAGCTTCACATAAGATTTCCTTCATACATAAAGCAAACTTCATCAGGGCACAAGTTTTGCAAGTTAAAGACTATAGCTCCAGTGCCCCGAAAAATATCTGGGACTTTAAGGTACTCAATAAATCAATAGTTGCAAACAAAAATTCAATTGCTTCTGTTAAGAGTTTTCAGCATTTGGTAAAGACCTCTATAAAACAAAATTATAAATCCCATGTAATATGTGGATGCATTTTAAATTTAATAATGGCAGAAAAAACAAATTTTATTCCAATTTAAATGTCTTGATTATTAAAAATCTTAACACTACCAGTAACTATAAAAAAGTACTTTGAAAGAGCACCCAATTTAAGAATTAAGAACACAAAGAGTCAATAGCTAATTCTCACAGAACTTGGTTTAAAAATTCCTTAATATTACCAAGGCATAGCAAGCCTAAATAAATTTTTTTAAATGATTTTCAGCAAAATTTATCTAATTATGCCATCCTGTTTATTATCTGAGTCGTCTTCATTTTAAAATATTTTTTAGTTATATTTGGACAATACCTTTATTTTATTTATTTATTTTTATGTGTACTAAGGATCAAATCCAGCACCTCATACGTGCTAGGTGAGCGCTCTATCACTGAGCCACAACCCCAGCCCCTGAGTCATCTTAAAGGAAAAAAAAAAGTTAGAGATTCAATTAACTCCTTTTAGTTTTGAGGTACTCAATGTTAATGAAAAACTAGATTATCTCATTAAGTTAGTCAATGTTGTTAAAGGAAAAATGGTTTTAATAGAAAAAAGATCATGCCTCTCCTCCATTTCATTATTTTTTCAAAGCTAAAAAATTTGTTCTCTTATTCTTGCTTATAAAAAACAAAAAAGGGGGGCTGGGGTTGTGGTTCAGTGGCAGAGAGCTTGCCTCTCACATGAGAGGCACTGGGTTTGATCCTCAGCACCACATAAAAATAAATAAACAAAATAAAGATATTCTGTTCATGTATAACTAAAAAAAATTTTTTAAAAAAGAATAAAAGAGGTACTAATCATGGGCTGGGGATGTGGCTCAAGCGGTAGCGCACTCGCCTGGCATGCGTGTGGCCTGGGTTCGATCCTCAGCACCACATACAAACAAAGATGTTGTGTCCGCCGAAAACTAAAAAATAAATATTAAAAAAATTCTCTCTCTCTCACTCTCTCTTTAAAAAAAAATGTTTCCTGTTTCTGGAACAATTAAGAATTAAGTTTATAGAGCCAGGGTTGTGGCTTAGTAGTAGAGTGCTTGCTAACATGCGTGAGGCACTGGGCTCGAACCCTGGCACCACATAAAAATAAATAAAAGTATTAAAAAAAAAAAAGAGGTACTAATCAGCAGTCCCAATATTCCCATGAGGCAGACAAGATGGTTTGAAAAGCAATTAAAAATGTCAGTGATATGAAGATGAATCTTTACCTTATCATATTGGCATACAACAACATTTTCTGTGTCAAAGAGTTCCTGTCCTTCCTCATCACTCACATCATCTTCACTATTGAGGGGTTCCTATAAATAAAAAGAGAATTTATAAATACATCCCATGTATTACTATAAAAGGCCTCTCTGATATTCAATGAAAAGAAATATGACTTCGATGTTTCAAGAATCAAATGCCAAATACATATTTATATACACCATGAATGTAGTATAGTTAATCCAATGTTATTTAAGAGCCTGTCGACACTACKGAAAATTTAGCAAGAAATTAAATACAATTAAAACAGTTAAACTACACTACTTACAAATCTAAAGAGACATTCAACTTTATTTCCTTTATTCTTAAAAGAACAGCATGAGAAGGCAATTCTCCATAACTTTTTTAAAAAATATTTATTTTTTTAGTTGTATTTAGACATGATACCCTTATTTTATTTATTTAATTATTTTTACGTGGTGCTGAGGATCGAACCCACAGGGTCTTGCACATGCGAGGTGAACACTCTACAGCTGAGCCACAACCCTAGCCCTCCATAATAACTTTTTTAAATGCCTAGAAATGAACCTAAGAAAATATGCGGGTTTAATGAGATAATGGTACTACATACCAGCAAAGTGAAAACTGGTGAAATTGGAGGAGGAAAGAAGAATAATAGGCTATCGGTCTGAGTTGGACACATAAGAACCAGGACACTGAATACAAACCAGCACTGTCTACCATTATAATGGTTATGGTAGAGGCATGAAGTATAATAAAGAATCTTTTGGGTTTTTGTTTTTTCAAGATGGGCTGGGAAACCTCAGTACCAAAGAGAATAAAGGACCAAAATAAAACACAACTAGAACTTAAAATGACCAACCACATTATACTTCACCTCAACTGTGTCAGAGATGAAAGATATGGTGCAAATTTTTAATAAATGGAGAAAAGAGACAAATAATCAACAGGTTGTCAGACCTACTCATACAAAGCTATATTTGGATGTATTTCTAATTTCAAATAGGCATCACCAATATAAAATGAAAAAAAATTAAGGTAAATTTCACATAATAAATTATTTTAACCATTCAAAGTGCATGAACAGCACCATTCAGGTGCACTAACAGCATTCATAAAATTAGCTATCACAACTACATACTTCCACAACACCTCATCACCCTTACCCACTAAGTAGTCAGAGATGTACTCTATTCCCTTCTGTCCTCTGGCAATAACCAATCTGCTTTCTGACTTTATACATTTGCCTATTCTGGACATTTCAATGAAATTATATAGTGTGTGTGTGCATGTGTGTGTATACACACACACACAAATATATATAAATAAATGGAATTATATAATATGTGGCCTTTTGTGTCTGGCTTCTTTTACTTGGTATTTTTTCAAGGTACATCCATGTTGTATCAGTATTGTATTTATTTTTCTGGATAAATTCTATTCCACTTTCTGAATATACATTTTATTCGACCATTCACTAGTGAAAGACATTTGAGTTGTTTACGCTGTTTGGGATATCATGGATAGTGCTCCTATGAACATTCATGTAAAAGTTTTTGTTTGAATGCCCTTTAATACTCTTCTGCATATACTTTAGAGTCAAACTGCTAGGACATATGGTTAATTCTATGCTTAACTTTTTGAGGAATCACCAAACTGTTTTCCATGGAAACTACATGATCTTACATTCCTACCAGCAACACAGAAAGCTTCCAATTTCTGCACATCTTCATTGACATTTATTTACTTTCCTTTTAGATTATAACCATCCTATATGTGCAAAATGGTATCTACTGTGATTTGCATTTATCTAATGACTAATGATGTTGAGCATCTTTTACATGTGCTCATGGGCTACTTATATATCATAATGGAGAAATGTCTGTTTAAACAACTTTGCCATTTTTGAATTGGGTTGTTTTTTGTTGTTGAACTAAGAGTTCTTTGTATATTGAATATTAGATGCTTATCAGTTATATGATTTTGCAAATATTTTCTTCCTTTTGGCGAACTTTTTTCCTTCTTGATACTGTCCTTTGCTATGCAAGATTTTAATCTCCAAAAGTCCATTTTGTCTTTAATCACTTTTACTTTTAGTGTCATGTCTAATAAGCCATTATTACCAAATCTAAGGTTATGAAGATTTATCCCTATGTTTTCTACTGACAGTTTTATAATTTTAGCCCTTAGAGGGGTGGGAGGGGAAGGGAAGGGGCAGGGGGTTAGCAATGCTGGTGGAATGTGATGGACACCATTATCCAAAGTAAATGTATGAAGAAATGAATAGGTGTGAACATACTTTATATACAGAGATATGAAAAATTGTGTTCATATGTGTAATAAGAATAGTGATGCATTCTGCTATCATATATTTAAAAAGTAAAATCAATATAAAAAATAATTTTAGCCCTTAGATTTAGGTCTGTGGTCCATTTTGAGTTAATTTCTGTATAGGATAAGAGGCAGGGGGCAAACTGCTGTCCCAGCATCATTTATTATAAAGACTATTTGTCCCTTTACCAAATAGCACTTTGTTCATGTAATCTAATAGCATAAATATCAATATTCCACTAATAAAAGACACCTAAAAAGTGTGCAGAACCAAAAAGTTTGGAAGAGAAAGAACAAAAAAGTTGTATAAGGTAAATTCTAATCAAATCTGAAGCTGGTATGACTATTAATATCACACAGACTTTAGCATAAAATAAATAAAAATCACTAGTGATAAGGATGCTATGTAATTATTCAATTCACTGGGAAAATATAATTTTAAGCTTATATGTACCTATTTTTAGGCTCAAAATATAATAAGTGACAGAACAACAAGGGAGAAATAAACCCATTATCATAGTAGAAGAGCAGAACATATTTCATTCAGTAAATCAATGATGGATCAAACATACAATAAGTACTAATGAGGATACAGAATATCTGAACAAACCTAGTGACAATCTAAATCTAATAGACATACAGAGAACACAGTTGCAAATAACTGCAACAAATATACTCTTTTCAAATACATGGCATACTTAAAAACTGACCACAAACAAGTCTCAATCAACTTATCTAAGGATTCATAAATCGCACAGACCATGTTCTCTACAAAAGTTAAATCAGAATAGAAACTTATGAAGTAGGAAACAAAATTTAGAAAAAAATAAAGCTAAAAGCCAATTCTTTGAAAACACTAATGAAATCCACACACTCTGACAAGATTGAATAAGAAAAAAGAGAAGGAACAAATATATTAGCAGTAAGAAAAAAATGATTACAAATGATTCTGGTATTACAAAGATAATACGATTAATTTTATTCTTGTCAATTTGGAAATTCATATAAATATATAAAAAATCCTAAAAAAATAGAATTTATCAAGATTGTCTAAAAAGAAACAGAATACTTGATCAAAACTAAGGAGACTGGGCTGGGGCTGTAGCTCAGTGGAATAGCTCTTGCCTAGCACATGTGAGGTGTTGGGTTCAATCCTCAGCACCACATAAAAATAAATAAATAAAATAAAGGCATTCTGTCCACCTACCACTACAAAAAAATTTTTTTAAAATTAAAATAAAAAACAACTAAGAATAGGCCCACACATTTTTAGCAGTATGTTTTAAGAAATATTCACAGAAGAATTAGATACAGTTTTAAAGAAAAAAAATATTTGAAGTTGAATATTGAAAAAACTTTCAAGATTTATTTAATGAGACTACCAACCACTAACCTGAAGACCTGGTGAGAAGAATATGAGAATGGAGAATCACAGTTATCATGAATACACATGCAGAAGTCCTGAACAAAGTCAATTCAACAATTCAAATAAAAAGGGTAATATTTAATGATCAAGTTTTGCTATCCCAGGAATCCAATAATGGTTTGCAAACAAAGCAATTAATGAAAATCATTAATAACGAAAGACTAAAGGAGAGAAGTTATATGATTAACAGCTTCTGAAAACATTTAACAAAATACAACATTCATAGTCTTAAAAAACAAAGATAAGCAAAGTTCTTAATTTAGAAAGGAAGATCCTTAATCTGATATAGGGTATCCAAAAAACAAAACAAAATATACTTACTAGTGAATCATAAGAAAGATTATTTTTAAGTTTAAGAACATGACAAGAGTGGGCTGGCGTTGTGGCTCACCAGTACAGTGTTTGCCTATCACATGCGAGGCCCTGGGTTCGATTCTCAGCACCACATATAAATAAATAAATAAACGAATTTTGTCCACCTACAACTAAAAAATAAATATTAAAAAAAAAAAAAGAACTGTCACCAGTTCTCATCAATATTGTTCTGGAAGGCTTAGCCAATAAGGCAAGAAAAACTGCCATTTTGACAAATACTGTGATCATCCTTAAGGAAATACAAAAAAATCTACACAGACATTATTAGAATTAACAAAAACATTAGGAAGGTGGGTACATCAATGATGAATATTAAAAGCTCTATGTATTTCCATACTATCATCAAATAGAAGAAAACCTAAGAACATATCAGTTAGGGGACATCAAAATTATAAAGAAGAGCTAGGGGTATAGTTCAGTGGTACAGTGCTTGCCTAGAATGCAAGAGGTCCTGGGTTTGATCCCCAGCAATACAAAAAAAAACCCAAAATTATAGGGAATAAAAAATGCACAAAGCCAGGCACAGTGGCACACGCCTGTAATCCCAGCAGCTCAGGAAGCTGAGGTAGAATTGTATATTTAAAGCCCTTAGCAAAAGGAGGCACTAAGCAACTCAGTGAGACCCTGTCTCTAAATAAAATACAAAAATAGGGTTGGGGATGTGGCTCAGTGGTTGAGTGCCCTTGAGTTCAATCACCAGTATAAACAAAACAAATGGGCAGAAAACTTGAACAAGCACTTCCACATGATAAAATACAAATAAAAAAAATACATACATGGAAAGAGGCTGAAGCCAAGTAATCAAGAAAATAAAAACTAAAACCAAAACAAGATACATATTTCTACCTAGCAGACTGGCAAAAATTAAAGAGCCTGACAATAATAGGAATTGGAAAATGTGCTGACACCTACACAATTATGTACTGAATGGCAGGAATGTGATCAGTACAACTTGGGATTTTATTGTAAAGCTGAAGATGTGCATGACTTGGGATCCACCAAATTTATGCTATAGTTAGCTAATTTAGAAGGACTTTTTGCAAAGATTTTTTTAAAAAGATTGCATCTTAGGCTGAGGAAGGCAATTAACAAGGAAAACTGTGTGGGACAAATATCATCATAGACACAAATAACTACCCCGGAACAACAGAGAAAGCAAAAATATTAATAGGTTTCTAGAAGAAAAGACATTAAAAGGGTGATAAGGTTATTAAGAAACTGGTATCTAACATGGTCCAAAACCAAAAAAAAATTGCTTTGAATCAATCTGACATTTGGTTTTTCTTGAGATTCCCTTCTCTGCCAAATGTTGCCATTCCTTTTCAATTACTTAAGCAAAAGATTAACTACTTTCTATCTGTTCTACCAATGTCATATGTTTAAGCCATATTATGAATGCATAAGCCCAGGAATTAGAATTACTGGCAGCACTGTCTTCACTATCCTTGTTAATACAATTTTATTTGGGATATATAAAGTTATTATCAGTTATAGCAAATAATTATGTTTTATATGAAGATAAATATAGCCACAACAATCTAAACACTACATTAAAGAAGAATCTAGGGTGGGGGATGTGGCCCAAGCGGTAGCACGCTCGCCTGGCGTGCACTGGGTTCGATCCTCAGTACCACATAAAAATAAAATAAAGATGTTGTGTCCACCGAAAACTAAAAAATGAATATTTAAAAAAATTATCTCTCTCTCCCCCTAAAAAAAAAAAAAGAAGAAGAAGAAGAAGACTCTAACTATATTTTTAAAGTCTTAGGTTTACAGCACCTAACAACCTCTGGAAAAATAGGATCTAATTTGTCAGTTTGGCACCAAATAAAACAAAATAATTATTTTTTAAATTATTTGTTCGAATTATTATGACAGCAGAATGCATTTTAACTCATTACACACAAATGAGCACAACTTTTCATTTCTCTGGTTGTACACAATGCATAAGTCACACCATTCATGCAATCATACATGTACATAGAGTAATAACGTCTGTTTCATTCTACCATCCTTCCCACCTCCATACCCTTTTCCCTCTGCCCAATCCAAAGTTCCTCCATTCTTCCTTTGTCCCTACCCCCTATTATGGATCAGCATCCACATATCAGAAAAAAACATCTGGCCTTTGTAAAACGAAATCATTGGACTGAACTCTCTTTCCAAGTCTTTTACTAGAGACTTACTTCTTCTACCTGTCCATCTTCAGCTCCATCTTTCTCTTTATCCTCCTCTTCATCATCATCATAGTCTTCTTCTTCGTCTTCATCTTCTTCAGATGAGGTATCCCCAGTTCCATCAACTTGTAATACCAATGGAGCTTGCTGTTGAGCAGGCTGGGCCTGTGGTTGCTGCTGGCCAGCTGCAGTTATCTGTGCTTGTGCTGGTGTGGGCGCTGCCACTGTTGTAGGTATAACTTGAGTCTTATTTCCTGTAAATAATATTTGCTGAGGCTGGATGATAACACCAGTCTGTGGTGTAATCCCTCCAGGAAGAGGGGCAAGAACCTACAGCAAAAGAAAACCACATTATTAGGAACTAGTTACAGGGAAGAAATTGGTTCAAATATTAGAATCACCAGAAATAGTCCATATCGCATACACAGTTAACACTACCTAAGTAAAAAAGCAATGTTTAACTAGGACTGAACCACTAAATTTCTATTTTGCCATTTAAATTTCTGAAAGAAAAATATCTGCTAAAGGTAATTGCTTCATTAAGTGAGCATTAATTGTGTATATACCAGACACTGACCAACGAGAGCTATCCAAGTTATTCATTTATTTGCTTGATTCTAAGTATTTGTATATATAAAACCATGGGCAAAGGGAAGGGACCCACTCAAGGAATCCATACAGAAGTTGAAAAAGGAATCTTAACTAAAATTCTTTTACCTGTTGTATAACAGGAGCTTGTACTCCACCAGGCTGCATTTGTGGAATAACCTGCTGTTGTAGAACCACTGACTGCTGAGGCTGAAAGATATATTGGGCACCATTGGCTGCTCTGACCACCTGAAGAAGCTGGCCTAAAGCAAAAAAAGCATGTATTCTAAGTTACCACTTTAGCAGTGACCATCTCAAATAAAAAAATAAAAGAAAGAAATGTCAAACCATTGAAAAACCCAGGAATTATCAAGACAGAAGAAGTCTAACAGTTTTTTTAAGGTCTAATATCTATACACAGTAAACTATAATTAATACCTTCCCTAACTTCCCTCCATGTTCAGACACATTGCTTAAAATGATACATTTTCCAAATTTATTATCCTCATTCAGCTGTTTTTCAGTAAGATTTTAAAAACAGAATATAAGACTTGAACTAAGCTTAAATTATCTTTGTTCATATGCTAACAGTCAAGAAAGCAATAAAAAAAATAAGACATTTTATGGGCTATTCATTTTTAAAGCTTTGAAGAAACAAAAACAAAAGTTTGCTGAACCAGTCATCACTGTCACATAAAACTAATTATGTGACTGGCATATATATATATATATATATATGAGAGAGAGAGAGAGAGAGAGAGAGAGAGAGAGAGAGAGAGAGAGAGAGAGAACCAAACACTCCTAATAGGCTGCTTTAGATGACCTAGGATCTTGAATGAAATAACCAACATATGTTAATAAAATATGTAATAAGACAAGTCCCTAATTTGTTCTTCACAAATTTAGAAAATTAACAAAGTAACAAAAACAACAAATACAAATAAAATAAGCTTGGGTCAGACAAGCATAGTGGTGCACACCTGAATTCCTAGTGGTTGAGCAGGAGGATCTTAAGTTTGAGGACAGCCTCAGCAGTTCAGTGAGGCCCTCAGGAACTTAGCAAGACCCTGTCTCAAAAATTAAAAAGGACTGGGGATTTGRCACAATGGTAAATCAACTTCCCCAGTCTCCACCACTCCTCCCAAAAGGCAATAAAATGAAGATTAGGGACATAAAACTTAAAATCTATGTGGTTAGGGGCTGGGTTGTAGCTCAGTGGTAGAACACGTGCCTAGCATGTGTGAGGCACTAGCTTCGATTCTCAGCACCACATATAAAAAAATAAAATATAGGTCCATCGACAACTAAAAAATAAATGTGGTAAGTTTTGAAACACTAATATCACCAAAAATCGTATGCTAAACATTGGTCTTTAGTCAATCAATAGGAGAGAGTATGCCTAATAGCATGCAATGAATTTGCTCTTAAGGCACCATAGGATTTACTTTGAAAACACAAATTAGTTCAAATGAGTCAAGTTTATCTCCTTTGACAAGATAAATACGCTTAGTAATACAGTAAACGAGCATTTCTATATAACCATACTTCTTCAATAATAGGGTTGGTTCTCATTCACGATCAAAAGCTCAAGAGCAATTTTCATCTTCTCTATTGCATCCTCAACAATGATTACAGTTGTATGTTACAGCCCTCAAAATTATTTTAACAACCTAAACCAAATGATAAAAGAAATATTAGTACTGTCTTTCGATGAAATCAAAACACAAGGGTTAGATGGTGCAATTTTCTGAATTATATTTAACAATGGTTCTGTTATTCCTAATTACCTGAATTTGTTAATATCTGTTGAACAGGAGTCACACCTGCAGGGAGTGCCAAGGTAGCAGCTGTAGCAGCAGCACTCTGAAAAATATAAAAACAAAAGGAAAATATCAAAACTACATTATACATAAAAGCATTTCAGCTTATCACTAGCATGTTTTAGTAGTATATGTAATTTTGTTTAGTACACACTAAATAGAAATTTTAACAATAAGACCAAACCCCATTTGATAAAATGATGGAAATAAAAAAGACCTTAGCTTACATAACCTACTTAATTATTTCAAGCAATTAAATAGAACAGTGTAACTGTTTGTCTCCCCAGTATTTTTTTTCCTACCTTGTCAATCTTTTAAGATTTAAGGTACAGATCCTTTATATACTCAATCTATATATTTTTGGGAAACCCACATTAACAATGCAATAAATACATAAATACAATATATGAAATAACCATTCCATGATCACTTCCTTTCCTATTCTTTGCTTCCTTACACCCAATTGCTTGTTTTTAATTAATACAGTTGGGGGAAAGTATAAGTGTCTTTGTTTCTTAATTTTTAAAATGTGTACTATAATCAACAAGTACCCACAGAAGACACTGTATCTGAAGACTTCTCTTGAAGTATACCATTACTTCCCTTGAAGTACAGATTAATACCAAAAAAATCCTCAAAATCTTAAGTCATCAACTTTAATTTCCATTATTTAAAATAGAGTTACTATGTAACATTCAAGTTATAAAAATATGGATGGGATTATATTCTGACTTTTTTAAAAAATTTTTAATTTTTTTAAACTTGTTTATAGACCTTTATTTATTTATATGTGGTGCTGAGACTTGAACCCAGTGCCTCACACATGCCAGGCAAGTATGCTACCGCTGAGCCCCAGCCCCAGCCCCAGCCCTATTCTGACATTTTTAAAATTAAAAAAATAATTTATTGCTTCCAGAAATTGTTTCTCCTCTAGCTTTCCTGCAAAAGAATTACACCATTCTCTATATGTTTTATACATTTTATTCATGTATCTCACTGTAATTTAGGTATTTTATTTTTCCATCCCCTTTTATAAGGTATGAAACTTTCATATACTTAATTTAACCTACACATTTTTACAAACACCTATATTTGGATAAGCTTAGGGATATAAATATAATAAACAAGCCAAGCAAGCAAGCTTTGGAGAAATTAATACCAGAGGAGTTAACAAACTTAGGAAACTATACTAAGCTCAGTTAATAATACATCTATGTAGTTTGGGGTTTTAAGGTATAACTTCAAAAGAAAAGAAAATAGGCCTAATTAACTTCTACTTCTTCAGTGTAAATTCCCTGAATTTCTTCAGATGACAGCTAGAGCTCACCAGTTCTTCTTTAAGTTAGATACTTAACCACTCAACTTAAAATAAATTATAGGCAAATAAAGGTAAGTTAAATTTAAGAAACATAGTAAGCAACCACTTGCTACTGATATTTAGGAATATTAAGTACCTTAATTTATATCTTCTAAGATAACAGATCTTGCTACAGCAATAAACCATTCTTTACAGCATAAATAACACAATAACCACCTGATACACTTTCTACACATTCAAGTTAATCAATAGGTATTTGCTGAGTGATAAACCATACATAATCACCTTTTATTTAATGACCTGAAAATTTTTTCTTGTATTTTATGAAACCGCCCTAACACAAATGCAGCATTAGACCAATCATTTTGTATCAAAAACCTGGAAAACTGGTTTGCTCTAACTTCCCTGAAATAGCCTTCTACCTGTTAAGTTATTATGTAATATTACCTTTTATTTTTATGAAATTACATAATTTTAGTATGTTCATTTCTAAAGTACACAAAGCCATGAGAAAAATCAGAAGTATTTTTACTTACTGAATATATATGAATTGGGAATAATAATGCAAAACAAAATCCCAGAACACTTTTACTGGTGAAGAGCCTTTATGGAGTATCTTTCAGAACATGCATAATACACTAACTAAAAATATCAAAGTAAAATGTAAATGCTAACCTATTTTACTGATTTAAGTTTCTAAACTATAATCTGTTTAATACATATTCTCCAACATCAGAGACCGAAGCAGTACRCATAAGAAATCAACTACTAATTTGATTCATCTCTTAAAACACTATTAAATTTGAAATTCTCTCCCACAACATTTAAAACTCTTCAAAATTAGAAGCATCTACTCCATGTGATTCTGCCAAAATTTGTTAAAATTTACATAAGTAATTCCCTAGGAAATAATAAAACTGTTAAAATGAGACAATACTTCTGAGTCAAGGAATTTTAAGATTTACATGCAAAAAAAAATGATTCTATTAACTTGAACTGAAGTATAAACATAGATCTTTTTTTTTTAATCTTAATTTTGTTGTTGAACCCAAGGGAATTTTACCACTCAGCTATATATCCAGCCCTTTTAACAGGGTCTCTCTCACTTAGGATCTGGCTAAATTGTAGGGGCTGGCCTCGACCTTGCAATCCTCCTCCCTGAGCCACCCAAATTGCTAAGATTAAAAGCATGTGCCACCACTCCCAGCCCATAAAACAGATCCTTGATATTTGTGAATTCAAAAATACAATTTCTACTATCTCAGAAATCTGCAGTTACTCCAGTGTACAAATCTGTGAAGCTGGTAAGGTGCAGGAGCAGCACCTTATTTGTCTGGTAAGTCGTACTGTTCTATTTGACTTATAAACCACAAAAGAGCTTTGTGGTTCATAACTTACCACTCACAAAGTGGAAGTGATTTTTTTAAAACATTGCTTTTTGAGGGCATGGTTGCACACACCTGTAATCCCGGCAACTCAGGAGGCTGAGGAAGGAGAATCAAAACTTTGAGGCCAGCCTCAGCCACTTAGCAAGATCCTGCTCAAAATCAAAAATAAAAAGGACTGGGGATGTAACTCCTTGGTTCAATCCTGGGTACCAAAATAACAAACCAAACCAAAACAAAAAACTCATATAAACATTACTTTTTTCAAAAAAATATAGAGAGATCTCATTTCTAGCATTACTTACATACACTGAGAGAAGATTACAAACAAGGCTTTTTACTTTTGAAGTTTGGGCTGAATTTAATAATGAAATGTCAAAGCTGAGACACTTCTGGGATATTAACAGTCTGATTATTTTAAACAAAATAAACAAAGGCAATTTACAAGAAAGTACTGAACAAATAATCAGATTGTGTTTTAATGTTAAAAAAAAAAAAACGAGTAAAGAATATAGGTAAAGATTTCCTAAGGATCTGAAGGAATCCTTTCAATTTTACAGTTGTATATTATACCACATTTGATAGAACTATCAAAATTCTAATATAACTCAACTGTTTCAAATGCATTTTAACATAACAATTTACAGATCATAATAACATAAACCATATTATGCCTAAATAGGAGCAAATATTTTTAAATTTGTTATTTTAAAAATGTTACCTTGAATTATCCAAACAGATTGTTTTAATTTTTTTAAAGTTTACAATTCTTAGCATTCCTGACCTCTTGTGATTAACAGATCTTCTGAAACAGAACTATATGTGGTATAATAGATTTAGTCAATTTCTAGAACTGTTGTTCAAAAATAGGTGATGAAATAATGCCCACAAAGCATCATTCTTTTGATGTTTAAAAACAGAAAATTCTTAATTTTGTGCATCTCTTTGTGTATTGAGAGTGTTTGTGTTTGTATGTGTGTGTGTGTGTGGGGGGGGGTTGTTACTGGAGATTTGAGTCCAGGGTGCTGAGCGTGCTACGCAGGCACCTCACCTCTGAGCTACATCCCCAGGCCTATTTTTATGATTCTTAGTACCAATCTAAACTTCAAATTTATCATACTATATACATTTTATACAAACATGTATAAACACAAACCCAGCAATCTTTTAAAAAACAAAACTGTTTTGCTCAATCTATAAGTTGTTAACTTACAATATGCCTAGGAATAATCACAATTTGGATTAAAATAAGAAAAGCAAATCTAAATGTTCTGAATCTTACCATGTTTGATGCATTCATATGCTGTATAAGCTTTGAATCGGGAACAATAACTTGTGGTGCTGTGGCTACAAAAAAATCAAGAACACATGCAAACAAGGAACCATCAGGCTATTTCATAATCACAAGAAATGTCTATAATATTAAATGTCTATGAATTTTTTCCACATTTTTTGTATTCAAATACTTTCAACCATTTATCTCAGAAGGTTTTAAATTTCTATGAAAAACAAAAGCTGTGATATACCCACTCTATATTGGAAAAGATTAACAAAAATTACTTAAATGAAACACATAAAAATGCAAAAGAATTTAGAAATACAAAAAATACCTAACACCTAAACATATACATTTCTGTGCATTCCTAAACAAGCTGGGAATTTTAAAACTTAATTTAATCTTGCTTTATTAACTCTACACTAACTGTTTAACTGACATAATGTAATATGCCAGTGTTACAGTGACTTACTAACTCATTAAAAATAAGGTCAAAAAGTTAATATTAGGGTTTTGTTTGTTTGTTAAATCTACACAGTTGCTTTTCTCCCACCTTGACAGATACCATAATCATGGCACTTTCATCAACTGTTTAAAAAGTACAAGTCAGAAATAATGGCAACGTTACCTAAGTGTTAGATTCCGCAAATTTCAGAGAATAGACAGATAATAAACCCCATTATCCTAATATTCTCTGAGTGAAGAAAATCAAATTAATTTATGATGACATAAAATCCTAGTGCCAAGCCTATAAGCAATAGGAGGAACAGTCATCAAATAAAATGAAAAGGATAAAAATTACATAAAATAACCCAAACAGACCTATCTACTATATATTATTATCAATGTCACGTCTTATATACAGTCTCTCAGACGAAACAAAGAGGTAGCTAAATGGTTACTTAATTTACTTTTATTCTCCTCTCCAATAATAAGAAATTGAATTAGAATACTTAGGAAATTTTAMAACTAAACAGATGATATCATTGAGAAAAAAAAATATTTTCTGTATGTAATGGATCATGCTTCTTAGACTTCCCAGGGCCCAGATTTTCCTCAACTGTGAAATGGAGCTAAGAACTATTTCACAAAAGCCCCATAAGGCATTACTAAAACAGTACTATGACTTGCATATTGCAAAGCACTACGAACTTAGTCTATAAATAATTGTTTCTTTGTTTTAAACCAAGTAATATAAAGTAAGCTGTTATAAACATAAATCACTATGAGACTGAATTTTCAGATTTCTCAAGTTATACAATCCCTCCTATGTTTAAGATATATGGATAAAAGCTAAACTCAAAGCATGTTTTTAAAGGAACAGGTTCCAAATAAAATACAGATAAATATTTTACCACATAAAATAATTAACCTGTTAGTAAATAAACTTCTAGGAAATACACCACTGTCTAAGTTTCTCAAAAGAAAATAATAAACTTACCTGAACATGATTTTAGGCTTTCAAATATGCGATTATCATTACTATATACATTTTATACAAACATGTATAAACACAAACCCAATCAAAATAGGGGAAGRAAAACAAAGCAATAAAAAAAAAAAMA